AGGTGGAGGAGGAGGTGGAGGAGGAGGAGGATAAGGAGGAGGAGGAGGAGGGGGAGGAGGAGGAGGAGGAAGAGGAGGAGGAGGGGAGGAGGCGGAGGAGGAGGAGAGAGAGGGAGGAGGAAGCGAGGAGGAGGAGGAGGCGGAGGAGGAGGAGGAGGAGAAGGAGGAGGAGGAGAGGAAGAGGAGGAGGAGGAGGAAAACGAGGAGGAGGAGGCCGAGGTGGAGGAGGGAGAGGAAGACGAGGAGGAGGAGGAAAAGGAGGAGGAGGAGGAGGAATGGGAGGAGGAGAAGGAGGAGTATGAGGAGGAGGAGTATGAGGAGGAGTATGAGGAGGAGGAGAGGAGGAGGAGGAGGAAGAAGAGGAGGAGGGGAGGCGGAGGAGGAGGAGAAAAGGAGGCGGAGGAGGAAGAGGAGGAGGAGGAGCAGGAGGAGGAGGAGGAGGACGAGGAGGAAAACGAACATCGCCACAGGGGTACCATAGGTTGGTCGCACAGAGTTGGAAACTGTGGCGGAGGAGGCGGAGGAGGAGGAGAGGAGGAGGAGGAGGAGGAGGAGGAGGAGGAGTAGGAGGAAGAGGAGGATGAAGAAGAGGAGGAGGATGACGAGGAGCAGGATGATGAAGAGGAGGAGGAGCAGGAGGAGGAGGAGGAGGAGGAGGAGGAGGAGGAGGAGGAGGAGGAGGAGGAACAGGAAGACGAGGAGGAGGAGGAAGAGGGGGACGGGGAGTGGGAAGGAGAAGTGGGGGAGGAAGGAGGGGAGGGGGAGCTTCTGCAACCAACCCATCGGCCCGCACGGCTAGCATTCACTCAAATGCGAGGTGGGCGAGTCGCACACTAACAGGCATAATAGTTGCCGCGACAGGCACTCATCGTTGCACAAAGAAATCACAGGCTTCGTGGCGCCCGCAGAGCAGACCGTCCCTCTTTGAGATCGCAGCGACCCCCGTACGGGGGTGATCCAGCAATGGGACATCGACTTCTCCCCTGGCGACCCGGCCACTGCCCGCGATATCACGTCGACTGGGGCACCCCTTGCGCACAGGTAACCTACAGTCAACTCGCATATGAAGGATGGGCAACCTTCCCAAGAGTACCCTTGCATCCTTGCCTTCTCGGCCCATCCTTAGCCGCTTTCGTTGGCCGCGGCCTGCTCGAGAAGCTTCGAAATGGGTGTCCAAGGTCCTTGCATCCCTATCGCGCATCCTTACTACACGGGTTGTCTGTACGTTCCAATCGGGGTTGCCCGCGCCGAAAAGGATGGTTTGGCGGCCGCCCATGCGGTGGAGAAGAAACGATAGTGGTACCCCCAGCAAGGGGGCGAGCTAGTGCCGCTGGTCTTCGAGACGTTTTTTTTTAGCGACGAAGCAGTAAGCTTCGTCCGCAGTTGCGGGGCGGGTTTGGACGACGGCGAAACTTGCGAGCTGCTGCGCGGCCTCTGGCGGGCACAACCCTTCAGCGAGGCAGTGCTCAAGTGCTGCTGGGCGCGCAAGGGCGCCAGGCCAGCAGCCCCGACCACCACCACGAAGACCACCATGACCACCGCGACCACAACCAACACGACCACTGCGACCACCCCACATGAGAATGTACCGTTATCACTGCGACTGCACTACGACCAGACACGACCGCCATCACGACCACCATGTCGAAGACGCGCCCAGCACGACGACGCAACGACCGCCCCCCGTCCCCCCCAGACCTCCTTCCTTCCTGCCTGGACGCATCTGCCTGCAGGTTTCGTCTCCTTATTTCAGTAGTTGACCCGTCAGTTAGGGAACACAGCCTGGCCTGGAAACTCTGTGCCCTGTGCGCCAGCATCCTGCTGCCCCTCCTCCCCCCTCTGCGCCCGAACTGCTCGGGCAGCGCAAATGGTCGCCTTTCGACGAGCGCGTTCCACTATTCGCAAAGTAACTACTCGCAAATGGCCTGGATCCCTCGCGAGGGATCTACGATAATTATATCAACGCAGACAGTTTTTTTTATTTTTTTTTTCGTCGGACGTTTGCGAGTAGGTACTTTGCGAGTAGTGGAAAGCGCTCGGCGAGCTTTAGGCGTTCGCCTGGACTGTCCTTTTTAGCTCCTGTTTGGGTGCCTTTTTTGTCAGGCAGTGCCCCCCATTGCGGCATGCCTCCGCAGTGGGCTGACCCAGCCTGGGCCCATCTGGCCTTGACTGCCTTTCGGATCTTCCTTTCATTCCCCCTTCCCAGGGGGAGGAGGGAGGGAGGAAGGGAGAGGGAGGGAAAGGGCGGAGGACGAGGAGGAAAAGGAGGAGGAGGGAATTGGATTATGATGAGGAGGAAGCGGATGATGAGGATGATGATGATGATGATGATGATGATGATGATGATGATGATGATGATGATGATGATGATGCTGATGATGATGATGATGCTGATGATGATGGTGATGACGATGATGATGTTGTTGACGATGATAAGGATAATGATGATGGTGGTGGTGATGGTGGTGATGGTGATGATGTGATGAAGAGGAGGAGCAGCATGAACAGGGAGGATGAGGATGAGGATGGATGATGAGGATGACGAGAAACAGGAAGTGAATGATGATTGTGACGATGATGACGATACTGATTCTGATGATGACGACGATGACGATGACGACGACGCTGATGATGCTGATGATGATGATGGCAACGATGATGGTTATGGCGTTGGCGATGGTTTTGGCGGTGATGATGCTGCTAATGATGACATTGATGATGACGATGGTGATGATGCTGATGATGCCGACGGCGCAGCTGCTGCTGGTAATGATGATGATTATGATGATGATGCTGATCATGATGCTGATGATGCTGATGATGATGATGATGATGATTCTGATGATTCTGATGATGATGAGGATGATGATGAGGATGATGATGATGCTGATGATGATGATGATGATATGGCAACGGTGCTGACGATGAGGTTGATGATGATTATGATGACGATGCTGATGATGATGGTGCCGATGCTGATAATGGCGATGCTGAGACTGATAATGCTGATGGTGATGATGATGGTGATGCTGATGACGATGGTGATAATTATGCTGATGATGATGACGTCGATGATGGTGATGATGCTGATGATGATGATGATGCTGATACCGATGATGATGATGATGATGATGATGATGATGATGCTGATGATGATGATGATGATGATGATGATGATGATGCTGATGATGATGATGATGATGATGATGATGACTATCATTCTTATTCCGATGATGCTGATGTTGATGATGCTGCTATCGATGATGCTTATGGTGATAATGAGTTTGCTGATGATGATGCTGCTGATCCTGATGTTGATGCTGAAGCTGATGATGCTGATGATGATGGCGATGCTGATGATGCTGATGATGATGATGATGATGATGATCATACTTTTGATGATGCTGATGACGATGACGATTCTGGTGCTGATGGTGATGATGATCATGGCGATTCTGATGGTGTGATGATGCTGTTTATGCTCATGATGATGACGATGCTGAAGCTGCTGTTGCTGATGATGATGAAATGAGGACCGTGATGATGGATGGTTATGATGCATATGCTGATGCATAGGATTTTGCTGATGCTGGTGCTTCTGCTGCTGCTGATGATGGTGACGCTGATGATGATGCTGATGATGATGATACTGATGATGATGCTGATGATGATTATCATGGTTGTACTTATAGTTATCATTATAAAAATTAGTGGTAGTATTATTAGTACTAGTATTATCATTGCTAGTATTAGTATCCGTATTAGTATTAGTATTCGTATTAGTATTCGTATTCTCATTCGTATTCGTATTCGTATTAGTATTAGTTTTAGTACGAGTATTAGTATCAGTGATAGTAGTCGTATTAGTATTAGCATTAGTATTCGTATTAGTATTCGTATTTGTATTTATTATTCATATTTGTTGTTCGTCTTCTTATGAGGATGATGACGATGATGATGATGATGATGATGATGATGATGACGATGATGATGATGATGATGATGATGATGATGATGATGATGATGATGATGATGATGACGATGATGATGATGATGATGATGATGATGATGATGATGATGATGATGATGATGATGATGATGATGCTGATGATGCTGATTGTTTAATCGCTTCGCTCATGCCGCCGGCCCTGGAGCCCTCTTTAGGGCCTCTTGGGGGCCTCTTGGGGACCTCTTGGGAGTCTCTTGGGGCTCCTTGGCGGCGTTTTGGAGGCCCCCAGGGCCTCTTGGGGGGCTCTTGGGGGTAGTCGATTGCGGCTCCCCCCTCGGAGGCCACGATCCTCGTGAGGGGTGTCGAAAAATACCCTCCCCTGGAGTGGTCTGGTGGCTTCTCCCGGGCTTCTCTCGGGACCTTGCCGGGGTACTTTTCGTCCGGGGGCCCCCAGGGGCCGCTCCGCGCGTGCGAACTAGAAATATTGTTAACAAGTTACCGGAGATCTTAGCACGCCTCTGGCCCGTTGGGCCGGCGAATTATGATGATGATGATCTGGGTGGTGGTTTTGGTGGTGGTGACGATAACTTGATGTGGAGGAGGAGGAGCAGTAGGAAGAGGAGGAGAAGTCGGAGGAAGAGGAGGAGGACGAGGAGGGAGAGGATGAGGAGGAGGAGGAGGAGGACTAGGAGGAGGAGGACTCGAGGAACGGGATGAGGAGGAGGACAAGGAGGAGGGAAACAAGAAAAAGGATGAGGAGGCGGAGGAGGCGGAGGAGGTGAAGGATGCAGAGGCGTAGACGGTGGAGGAAGAGGAGGAGGAGGAGGAGGAACGGGTTAACCGGGAGGAGGAACAGGAGATTGAGTGGGAAGAGGAGGGCGTGGAAGGAAAGGGGGGAAGAGGAGGAAGATGCTCCCTCGTCTTCCCGACTTCCTCCGCCCTTCGTCTTGCCCGCGTCGCCGTCGCCATCGCCGTCGCCGTCGCCGCCGTGGACGCCATCGAGTCGCTGCCGCCGCCGCCGTCTTCTCCCCACGCGCCGCCGCCAGCGGAGGCCCGCCAGTTCCCGTCGAGCAGCCAGAGGGCGGCGCGGGAACCCCGGCGAGCGGCGCCGCCGCGGAGGGCACCGCGGAGGATGGCGGCGGCCTTCTCTTGAGCTCGGGCGGCGCGGCTGGAGAGGAGGACGCCTCGGGTCTGAAAGGGCGGGGGGGGGGTCCCGGGCCCCTTCCCGCCCCCTCCGGTCGGCTCATAAGTTTTGAGTTGTGCTAGTATGTGTTATTCGTATTATAGATATATCTATATATACACAGATAGAGGAGCCACTGCAGATGGTTATGGCATGTGTGTATATGTATGTATGCCTGTCCGTCTCTCTGTCAGTCTGTCTGCCTGCCTGCCTGTCAGTCTGTCTGTCGGTATGTATGTAGGTGTATGTATGTATATGTACACATAGATCTGTTCGTTAGCGTGGGCCCCAAACAGTGTGTCTCTAGCAATCGATGTGCAATTCAGGTGGTGCAATCTGTGTGCAGCAATACATGCGGTGCGATCTAGGTGGTGCCATTTATGTTGTCCAATATATGTTATGACATTTTCGATGTGCAGCATGTGTTGCGCATCCTATGTGGTGCAATCTACGCTGTGCACTTTTATATGTGATCATATACATATACATATGTATGTATGTATATATATATATATATATTGTGCACTCTACGCTGTGCCATCTATGCTGTGTAATATATGACGGGCAGTCTTCGCGATGCACTCGATGTGATGCATATTTGTTGTACAATCGATGTGGTGCAATCCGTAGTGTGCAACCTATTTCGGTGCAATTTATGTTGTGATCGGTCAAAGAGCGCACCGCAGGTGCGCAAAACACAAATCGTGCAATCTTTGTGCTGCAATTTATGTGGGGCACTGTCTGTGGTGCAACCTACAATGTGTGATTCTGTTGTGCAATATGTGTGGTGCAATCTTTGTGGTGCAGTCTATGCCGTGCAATCTATCTAGTGCAGTTTATGTGCTGCAATCTCTGTCGTGTAACACACGTGGTTTTGCAATATATGTTGTGCAATCTATGTTGTGTAATCCATGTGGGGCAATAGATGTGGTGCATTCTATGTTGTGTGCGATCAAGAAGCGCGCCGCAGGCGCGACATTTTTCGTGCAATCAATGTGGTGCAATCCAACGGCGGCGACGGGCGGCAACGCAAAACAATGCAACGCAAAGCAACGCAGCGCGGCGGCGACGGCAAAGCGACGGCGATGGGCGGCGACGAGGCGGCGACGGGGCGGCGATGGCTGGCACGGAGCCGCCTGGCCGACACACGAACCCAGGCGACGGGCGGCGACGAGGCGGCAACGGGTCGGCGACGGCTGGCAAGGGTCCGTAAGACCGGCCATTGGATCCTGTGCAGTAGAGCAGAAGTAAGAACCCCTACGTGCAAGCACTGTTTGGGGAATCTACAGATTTGTATTTGTCTCCTCATCTATACATACGGTAGTTAAGATATTTACGTGTATATATATATACACATTAATTGACCAGTACAAAGTCACCCACGTGCACCAAAGTTTTCGTAGACGTATATTCCGGTAAATACATATGCACGTATACCTACCTTCTCGTATTCATATTCATCTACATCTAGATATCTGTATATTTTTACGAACCCCTCCGAGGGAGTAGAGCTCAGCGGCGCTTGATAGAATCGGTGTTTTTTCCTGGTCGTTTCGTTCGGGACATCCTCAATAATCAGAACCTCGGATGCACCCCTCTTGCATAACGCGACGTCAGAGTCCAAGAACACAGGAGTTTCTATAGTTTTCAAGAGAGCCTTCAACAAAATAGTGGTGTTCACTGAGTTTTGGCGCCGCCCACGGAAAGACAACCGTTTCGAGTCAGACATTCCCCCAAATAGAAGCCCGACGCATGCAAAGTTGTCGTCGTATTCTTTAGAACGACAGCTTCGCTTGAAACATCCTCCAACAATTGGTTTCGGATGTGGTTTTTAACTGCAATCTCAAGGTGTGGAACACCCCCCGGCGCCACACACATCGCGAGGTGTTGCAACCCCACCTACGCTCGACTGCGCTCCCACTGCTGCACCTCCATCCGAACAGCCGCCCGATGATACTCATACTCATTTTTTTTGCTGCTTCTCCTCGTCGGATTTGACCTTATTGTCCTCTTGTGCATGCTCGTTGATGTGTGCGTGCTGCAAGTATTTGTGTATGAGCCTGGACACGCACTTACCACCATTGCACGGTAGAGTGCTTGTCTGTGTACACGTATGTGTATCCTGCATCTCTATGTTTTTATAGCTATAGCTATTTGTATTTGTATTTGTGTGTACACATGTGTATCCATGTATGTATGTACGTATGCATGTGTGCATATGTATAGATATGGGTACACATATATACACTGTACTTGCACATATTCGTGTACATGTACTTGTACATGTATAGGTATAACAACATAAGCGTGTAGATGTTTGAGTCTATGCGCCCAGGTAAATGCACGAATGCACATGCATGATTGTATCTGCGTGTGTATCGGTATGCGTGTAGGTTAGTGTATTCAGAGGTCATTCCGCTCCGCTCGATCAGCTGCACAATATCGGCCTGCGCCCCATGTAATCTGAACCCTCTGGCCTGGAGGGCTGCGGGTCTACACCTGGGCAACGCCACCGAGCAGTGGATGTCAGACTCGTGCCCGAGGAGAGTGCTGATGTGTGGCTCATTTCCCCGTAGCCCGGTCGCCACGTACTTCTTCGTATGGAAAAGGTTCAGGGCGAACGCGGCGTCGCCCAGCCTTGGCGGGTCACTGCGTCGAGCACGTGTGCCTTCCGCACGAGTCCGGTGGCGTCACGTGGGTGCACGGCTTGAGAAGGGCAGCCGAGGACGTCACGGCACACGTTGGTGATCCGCGTGGTACGAAACGCATTCATGCAGATGACCTCGACATCGTCGAATACCCCTTCGCTGGATTGGAGAGGCCTGACGGCCTGTGCCGCCGACCCTGACCTCGACATCGTCGAATACCCCTTCGCTGGATTTATCCATCGCCACCTTCACGGCGCAGGTGGACCGAAGGCGTACCGCGGTATGGAGCCTGCCCGTGGCGGCCGCGCGGCGCGCCGAGAACCGACTAGCGGCCGACGCTGGTTCGGGCCTGGAGGAGTGAACGCGGGCCAAAGTCTGCAGTCTGCATTGCACACGTACCCTGCCAGGCGCTCAGGTGCCTTCTCAGGGCAGGTCGAAGCTCACGGCGCATGTTGCTGTGGGCACGGCTTCGCCGGACGGAGCGGGGGCAGGCTTTTCGCGCTCCCCTGAGGCGCGGTCCGAAGGATCAGGGCACTCCACTGCAACCCTTGAGCTTTTCATGCGAACGGGTGTTGCGCTTCCGACGGCCGTGCGCCGTTCATTGGCATTTGCCAACTGTCCTAGGATGAAGCGACGTCCTGCTTACCCCGGACCGCGCCAGGGCGGTCAGGAAGTGGTTGGTCGACAACGGCGTCCAGAACGACTTCGCGCCGTTCTTCGATGGTTCGGCGGTTGTCGCCAACCATGCATCAGGTCACCGGGGATCCGCGTATTTCTATTGGCTCCTTCGCTGGTGGCCCAACGCGGCGCTTCGGCGCAACTGTGCGCGGCTGGCCTTGGCCCGTGCTCGATCGTGTTGAACGCTCGTGCGGATGCTGCCTGGCTGTGCTGCCATTGCCGACGACGCTTGGCCAGGTTTGCGCCGAGTCCGTGGACATTTGGCGGCTGCTTGACACGTCTCGCGCTCGAGTGCGCGGGCAAACTCAGCAGCTGGCATGCGCTGGTTTCGCCGAGGGAGCTAGCCTCTGGCAGCGATGGCGTGCGGCATGCCGCGCGTCCGTGCAGCCCACATTCTGGAATCGGGACCACGTTCGGGAATTCTCTGCGCGCGTAGGCGGCAAGAATGCTGCGCCCCCAGTCGCGGGTTGGAGACTGGCGCACGGGCGCGGGTCGCGAGGGCCATGTGCGGGCCGCTGGGCGCTGAGCCGCCCCCGGCGCCCTCCGCCTACTACTCGCCCGTCTTTTGCGCGCGCGCGCTGTGTCGCGCGCTGCTGTGCAGGTTCGCCAGGACTTTGGTGTGCCCGAAGCGCTGCGGCCGCTGAGTGTCAGAGTGTTACGCCGGAGCACTCTACGCCGGTGGCTCGGGACCCTTGAAGTTGTTGGCCGCATGCGCGACGCTCGACGCCCTCGAACGGATGATGGGTCAGCTTCGCGAGCAGGGCTGCCCCGCCTCTCGGCTGACCGCCGCCGCCTCATCTGCAGACCGCGCTGAGGCCATCTTTCACCGGGGCGCATGGCCCAGCCGCGGCTGGTCCCAGTCACGCTGCGCGTCTGCCGCCTCTGGGCTCCAGGGCGTCGCGCGTTGCTGGGCCGAGCCCGAGGTCCACGCCGGGGACAGGACATGCGAGGCTTAAGTCGGGCCTGTCCCCCTACAGGGGTTTTTTCGACGTAAAATTATCAATTCCCCCAATATAGTCCAAAAATAATCCAAAAATAGTCTGCGGACTATTTTTCGAGTATTTGTCGAGTATTATTTTGGGGTATTTTTGGGGTACCTTCTATTTTTCGTCGAAAATCCCCCTGCAGGGGGACAGGCCCGACATACTGCGAGGCCTCTGCAGCGGACGTCGCCAACGCCGGCGGCCAACGTCTGTTCCGGCGCCGCCGCGTCCCCGCAGCGATGGCGCGCGCGGCGCCTCTGCCGAGCTGCTCGGGGCCGCCGGCGCGCGGCCCGCTTCTCGGCCGACCAGGCCGCGCTGGTGTCAGGAGGGAACAAAAACGCACAGACACAGTTCATCGTCGACTCCCCAGAAAAAATATGGGAAAATATAGGAAGTGGGGGGGAAGACAAACGCCCAGAAGATATGGGAGGATATGGGGAATCCTCTTGATTTGTGTCTGTTTATTTGTGTGTCCCAGGGCCCCTTCACTGGTGTCACTCATGGCAGAGGTGCCGCGTCGGTAAGTTGGCGGGCGCCCCTCCCGCTCCGGGGTTTGCAACCGCTGCCCGTCGCTGACCGACGGACAACAAGCCTGTATATGTACACTTGCATGCGTATGTATGGAATGGCTTTCGGCCCGTCTCATCACCGTGCCTGGGTCGTGGGCGTGAAGCCTATAGGATGCTCGTT